GACAAATGCGAGCCCATCCTCTTTGTTCCAAATCCCTGGAGGATCATAAAGCCCTTCAAGCTGAAGTTGATGAACACCACTGCAAACCGGAGATAAGCTCCACTGGGAAGCAAGCAATGCTCAGCCCTAGCACCTGATTGGCAAAGCTTCCGCAGTGTGACCTATTTCTGCAACTGCAGAGCTTTGGAGGCAGCTTCTTTCCCCTCATGTAAGTGCAAAACCCTCCAAGCAAGTTACCATAGAGGTAAGTGATAGAGCAAGCTACACTGGTGGAGTCAAAGCATCAGCCTTGGATTGATATATATAAAGATTAGCCATATTGATTACTCTAACCCATTTGGATTGTTTGGTCAGGTCGCCTGACAGTTTATTTATTGTCATTTAATGAGGCCCCTAAAGTGAGAAGACTCAATGTGACGTATACATTAACTACAGAATGCTACAGAATAATCATGCTGTATTTAGCCTCTCCCCAGCCATGCTTCAATTCACTTTTCATTCTTTTAACATACATGTCTCGGTGGGCCAGAGCAGTGATTACAGGTACCGCACAGAGTCAAAGGCCAGCGTTGTAATATCAAGGTAGAATGCAGTAAGGCTACGTCTACACTGGCAGCTTCTTGTGCAAGAACTCTTTTGTGGAAGAGATCTTGTGCAAAAACTCTTCCACAAGAGAGTGTCTACACTGGCATGTGCTTTTGTGCAAGAGCATCATGGCAGGGTGGACGCTCTCTTGCGCAAGAAAGCTCTGATGCCCATTTTAGCCATAGGGGTTTCTCGTGCAAGAAATTCATGTTGCCTGTCTACACTGCCCTCTTGCGCAAGAGGGCTTATTCCTCATGGGGAGAGGAATAACTCTTCCGGAAGAAGCCCTGTTTTACAACGCTGTACTGTAAATTTACTTCTGGAAGAACACTCATGCAGTGTAGACAGCCGGCAAGTTTTTGTGGAAGAACAGCTGTTCTTGCGGAAGAAGCTGCCAGCGTAGACGTAGCCTAAGAGAGCCTTGTTGTGAAGGGAAATGTATGGAACACCAAACAGCTCTCAAGAGGGAAGAAAACTAGCTTTGAAATTCCAGCAGTTCACATCACCTTGGAACATCCTTCCAAACACCTTTATTATAAAAAGAAAGTCAAGATGGGAGGGAGGGAAGCTTCCACAGCACAGGGGGCAGCTGAATAAGTCGGTCCATGATGACACTTGGAAAGTTACTTTTCTTTCCTCCTTCAGAGGAAGAGACTAGACATGGACCGCCACCTTCCTGAGACTGCAGGATCAGAGGCAGACTTTATTCAGTGCTATTCCAAGTACTGCCCACAATAGGAGAGAGAATTTACTCTAGAAAGGTATGTGACTATAGATAATGATGGGTTTTTTCTGGCCATCAGCAAAGCCATTGACAAAGATGGGAAGAGATTGTCCTCATCCGAGGAAGTGGGTTTTGCCCACGAAAGCTCATGATACTATATATATTTTTGTTAGTGTCTAACATGCCACAGGACTACTCGGTGTTTTTAAAGAGACTGGTTCAACTGAAAAGGCTAACGTTAATAGTTAAGAAAACAGAAAAAGGCTACAGTTAAATATAAGCAAGAGAAAGACACAGATTAGATTTCTGAAGGTTAAAGAGAGGTTAAGTATTCATGTAGAATTTTTAAAATATAGATCTTCCCTGGGACTTCCTTGCTTGTGTTTTACAGTTAGTCCTCCTCCCTTCATCTGACATTTTAGATTATAAAAACTTTTGGGCAGGAACAGTCTCTTTGTGTGTGTTTGTATCACATCCAGCACAATGGGATCACAATGTTGTTCAAGGTCTTTGGGCGTACTTTAACACAAATGCTAATGCTGCTCAGAAAGGAAGTTGTCTTATAAAACAGTTTGGTCAGACAGGCTAAATTAATGGTCAGCACCAGCACAACAAAGAAACTGGCACCAATCCACCTGAAAACCCGGGGACAAATGGACTTTTCTGTTCAGGTGATGGGGAGGAGATGGAAATCCCAAAGAAAGCCTCATGCACACAGACAGGAGAAGATAAGCAATTTTTGGCACTGTTCAATTATGCCTGTCTAAGGAAACTGACTGACTTGAAGAGTGACTGGCAAAATGAAAATGAAGTGTTCCTCCCCCCCCCACAGACAAGATGCCACATCTACATGAAAGAGCAGCTCTCCCATTGTTTTTCCCAACCCAAATTAGTTTGACTTTTTCTTTGCATTTGCAGATTGTCTCTGAGTTTGGATGCAGGAGTAGAGCTGGGCTTTTAGCATTAAGGGAGAACCAGCGAGTATAAACCCTTTTGGGCCAGCAAACTACATTAGAAACAGAGATAAATGGAAGATGGGGCAGCATCTAGCACCACTGGAAGAAGGTGGGAAGGATGTGGCATTGCATAGGCACATCCTCTGTCTTATGGAACCCTCAGGGACACTGACAGGTCAGCAGGAGTCACTGCAGATCACAAGACAACTCACCTCAGTGAGCAATGAGCGAGTGCATCACACACGGCCCTGGTAGCAGCGATGACAATCCCACTCGGGGGATTCAAGTGCCGCCCGTCACCTCTTCTCCCTCAAGAGCTTTTGGCAGAAGAGTGCTCTGCGAGGCAGGAAGCCAGCACACCCGCTGCTGCACTGACACTTCTTGACACATGAAAAGCTGCTGTCTTGACCCTAATTGGTTACTGTATCATTGCTGCAAACTCATTAACTGTACTTCATTAGTTTCCCATAATGTATATGCATAATGATGACCTAAGAGCAAAACTGCTACCACTCAAGTTTATCTGTACAAAGAAGTGGGTGGCAAATACATTTTCTCCTCTCCATTACTGGTGGAAAAATTATATTTAGCTGATCGTTTCTAAGATGTAAATAAAAAAATAATAATTTTTGAAGTTACCACCAGGATGTGGAATAAAATCACATTAAAGCTAACACAGCAAACATACAAAATACAAGTTTTGACAGGCTGCACATACGCAGAATATTGCGCAGCCTTAGATTGTTCTGTTTCCCTCAAAGATTAGGTCCTTCCAGAGAACTCACCTTCTTCATCCCTGCACCCAGTGATATACTGAGCCTGCCTTCTTCTTAGGATTTCCCGCTGTGTTGGTTGATGCTCTTTGCCTTCATTTATACATGACTGTTAAAAGGTGCAGAAGGGCTGGGGGTCATGAAATATTACATATCCTGCTCTTAATCAAAAATCATGGAGCTACTAAATGCGAGGGCTATAAAATCCCAGTTAATCAGTTAACTGGTTAACCGACTAGCAGGATCTCATCACTCCAGCCCCTCAGCCTGTGCAGCTGCCGCTGACTTCCAGCCACCAGCTGCATGGGGCAGAAGCAGCACTCTGCCCACAGCAGGCTGCAGGCAGGGGACTGCTCCCTGTAGATCGGGTTAACTGTTACCCAGTAAGGGTGACATTTACTAGCTAACTGTTCACATCCCTACTCAATGCTGCTCTGGATTAGGCATAGCCAGTCACTGCAGAGCAACATAAAGCAGTGCAACATCTTTAGCCCTGAGCCAGCATGCTGTTTCTGCAGCTCTCCCAGGCTAGTGCAGATGAAGAAATCGGATATAGTTCTTTTGCTTGGTACTCCAGAGCACTATCAGCCCAGTGAAAGCAAAAATAAAATGTTGATGAAAGCATTGAAACATGAATTATGGGCAATCAGTAGGTGCAGGGAGAGTAACCCTTGCAGATACGAGTTCCTGAAGAGAATATCAATATGCAAGCGGAAGGTGGAGGATGGACTACTGTGTGGTGTAAGAAATAGCACTCGCATTAATTAGACAAAACTGAGCAAAGGAAGATTTAGGCAGTAAAACTTTGCTAATGGTGTTACCTGTTAGACTGAAATGCTCTCCTGACGACCCTCATTATTCAACTCATTTAAACCAGAACAGAAACACTAGTTAAATACACATCAGAGAACAATCCTGGAATGGCTGAGACTGCATGTAGCCAGGGTGGATTGATTTAAATCACCCATTTAAATCATCCATTGTAATAAACATTTCCACTTGTACTTCCGTTATTTTCTAAAGTAAGGTGCATTCTCATTGCTTAAATAAATGTACATAGTTATAATGTATCCTCCTATCTATCTATTTTCAGATTCTTAATTGTACATTTTAATAGGTTAGAAAATGCTTATTTACTAGATAACTAACTGCATAACGTGAGTAAAGCTGCATTAGGAAACCAGAATTTAAACAAACTCACAAACAGCACATAATTATTTAAAAATAAAAACAACCTTAAACACTTTGGATGCATAAACTTCTGTCAAAATACATTTCACACTTATAATTAAATCATTTATTAAACAAAGGGATAAACAGTAATCAGTGAATTAAACTGATTATTTCAATTCAACCTGTGAAAATTTTCAAATATGTCTAAGAGAAAATAACTGCAGTTTAAGTCTCCTAAGTTACTTAGGCTGACCTATTGTGCTGTATTTATAAAGCTTCACTTCAAAAGTAGAACCAGGAAGAAAACATCTTTACATAGAAAAACAGCCTTTATATTTTAAAAAAAAAAAGATACATTTAAGGATTTAGAATATTTTTATTTAAATTATTTAAGAAATTATAAGTGTAGTCTTTAACATATTTTGTAGTACATTAATTTCATTTTAAACAAGTTTATTTTTAAAAAGAAAAAATATGAACAAAAAAGCCATTGACTTCTATTCACTCTGTACTAAACAGATCTTTTCCTATCTTATTTCCATGACTGGTACTTGGTCATTCAAAGGCACAGAATCACATGCCTCCTCTCACAGACATTGCACAATATCTTGCATTTTACTATGCTAGTGTTCCTCCTCATTGTGATCTGTCCTTGGCTGAGAGAGAAATCATTGATACTTTACTTCAAGGTGACAAGTACAATAACACTGACACTGCTGTGGTAAGGCTGGAACAATAATAGATCATACAACTTCGCTAAAATAGTTCATACACAAAAGACTGCAGAGATATTTTTATAGGAAGATTTATTCTGAATTACTTTTGTTAAAGATTCATAGGTAGGTTACTGTGTTGTGTTAGACAATACAACAAATTCCTGAAGGAATCTGTCTAGAAAGAAACAAGCGAGTTGAAAAACGGCCTGATCCCTACAACAGTAGGGATTCTTGTTTAAAAAACTGAAACAAAAACTCATCGTCTTACATGGAATAAGACTTACAGGATAACAACAATAGGAATTCAGCTACAAATTGTAAATTATTTTTATAGCATGTTCATTGCTCTGAAAGAACACCAGAGCCTCACAAGATTATTAATGAGAGATGACCAGTGTAAAGCAAAGAACAATTACAGTAAGAGTTCTAGAGATCTGACAAACCATGACAGTCAGTTAAAAATTCTGCCCTGGTATCTCATGGCTGGCTTTTTGTTTTGAAAATCTGGTGACTACTGCCCAAAAATTCCATTTCTGATTCCCGGACTGTTCTGATTCTTACACCAGGCTAAGCAGATTCCGCCTCTCTGTCACTGCAATTACAGTGTTGCCAGTGTCTATGTAAACGTGTTACCCTACTCTTCCAATCTGGTTATTTTAGTGTCAGGGTCACGGAACAGGAGGATTTAGTACAGGATATATTTTTCCATCACAGCATGCAATGGCAAAAGTGACTTGCGGAGCCACTGGATCCAGCTCGTGGACGCTACGGAAAGCCTCAGGCAGGCTCCTTGCTTGCCTTGGCCCACCCAGATGCTGCTCAGAAACATGGCTGCAGGGCAGTTTTTCTTTAAAAGCTTGAGCCCAGAGGGGAGGGGGAAGTCTTCAAGTGCTGCTCCTGCCCCTGGCACAATCCCATTGGCCAGTTTCTGGCCAGAAACTGGCCAATGGTAGCTGCCTTCAAACAGCCATGAAGCACCATGCTCCCGCCCCTCTAGAGCTAGTTATTCACAAAGCACGTGGCTGCAGCCTGTCTGCCTGAGGAACTGCTGGGCTGCTGACTAGTAAGTCTCCTGGCCAAAGCCTGTGTCTGGCACTGCAGCCCCTCCCTTTGCCAAAGCTCTGCCCCCTCTCACACTCAAATCCCTTGCCCCAGATCACAATTCCCTCCTGCCCTAGCTCACAATCCAAACCCCTGCACCCCAGTCCAGTGCCCCAAGTAACAACTTCCTTCTTCACCCAAACACCCTCCCAGACCCACACTCCCTCCTGCGTCCTAATCCCTTAACCAAGTTCCCCTTTGCACCTAACTTCCATCCCAGACCCCACACCTCCTCCATGGTATTAATCCATGGAAGAGTGTGGCCCTCGACCACTTTCCAAATTCTTGAGTACTCCCCAATCAAAAATTATTGTCCACCCCGGCCAAGAGCATAATAATCTGACACAACATTTCTGAACTGTTTCAGTTAGATGCCCATAGGCATGAATGCAAATGAGCTGAGTGGAATTTCTAAATTTGTAATATGGGTACAGGCTGTAGGATGTAGTGACCACAAGGCAGGGCAACCTACCTCCTAATTATAAAGGTATCAAGCTGGAGTCCAGGCTCCACAAGGCAGATGATTTCACAGGGGGGCTTCCTCAGCAAAAAATGGTTAAAACCATCCAACAGGGAGTTATGTCCGGGAACTGCAGAAGAGCTAAGGAAATACGAGTTGCTGAGTGCTCAGTGATCCTGGATGTGGGTATACTCTGTCCCAATGGATCCTAGAATGATGCCTGAAAGAGCTCTGGCCTGGAGGCGGAATATATAATGTTTCTGGGCTTCCCAGTCCTGCTTCTATAGCAGGAACAGGAATCAACTGGGGATCACCAAGTTCATTTCACACAATAAGCTACAGAATTCAGAAAGCCGGCAAATTTGGGGAGAGGGGAAGAAAAATAAGATACAAAAACCAGATGCTAAGTTCCAAGAGAACATTTCATTCAGTCCAACAGCAGTCCTTCTGGCAGCTCCACTACCACTGGGGCACAGTCATCTGGCTCAGTCTCAAAGTCCCATTTGAATTTCTTAGTTAGGTGGGCTTTAAACTTTTCTGCCTTTTTCCTCAGCGTCCTGTCAACCGTGGTGCTGCAGGCGTAGGAAAAAAACACCTAAAAATACATTTGAAGTCAGTTAGATGATTACAGCAGTGATGTTATAAATGCATGTTTTCCTTGCCTTGACATGGGCCAAAGTACCCATCCAAGGGGCAGATTTCAGGTCAGTCTGGTTTGAGAAGAATTTTAATTGCAGGGTTTGCAACTGCTACACCGGAGGTGGAGAGCAGAGAGGCTTAGAAGCACCAATCTCTTCCAGTCTAGAGAATGGGATTCAATTAGATGGCCACATATGAAACTGCACGACCATATATCTCTGAGCAGTTGGCACTATTAGCTGAGAAGAGACTGGGGTGCACTGACAAGGCTTTGTTCTGAGAGGAGGAACGTGCTGCTGTAATATCCCCTTTGGCTCAGCAGTTCTGGTTTCTCACTGTAACAAAAGCTTACAAACAAACACCACATATTTTCAGCAGATGAAATCAACCCAAATTGGAACTAGCTGTTGCACAATTAAAAACTGACAGCATGAGCCATAAGAATGTGGTGGCAGAACCAGGGTGTATGATCGCCCTCCCTTTCTTTATGGCTTGATATAAAGCAGATTCCCCCCAATTTTGTCTGCTATAACATGTGACAAGAATATGGTTCTCTAGCATTTTCTATGTCTTAGAGGAAAAGGCAAGGATCTCCTAAAGAAACAGCCTTGGAGACTAGAGAAATGGAAAGTGTCCCCTCGAGATCCTTTAATACAGGTACCTACAGCCTGAAAACATCCTTACGGAGGGATTTTCTAATGTTTCACTTACACTTAAACCCATTAACTTTTCACACATTCACAGTTTTTCTGAGACACTTCAGGTGGTGATTGCAAATGTGTCTGACTAAACAGGATTTTCAGCCTCAGAGCCCATCTCTCCCCCTGCTTGAATTTGTGGCACAAAACTCATTTCCACAACAAATTGATGCTCTAAGCATAAGAATTTTATTGTAGGATCAAACCGAAGGGAAAGCCCCTTTGGGAAGAATACTGTTATTTAAGAGAGACCTAAAGGCAGCCAGAGAAAATACTGAAAATGAACAGCAAAGTTCACTGCTTTGTGCATAACTGTTTGTTTTTCCTTGTTCATCCTGCTGTGAAACTGCCTCTTCACACAGAGATGAACAAAAAACTCTCCTATAAAATGAGGCTGGTGTTTAAAAAGGGAAGATCATGGGGCCTACATTCATCCCTCTGACTAAGTTACACATCAAATTTGTTCATTTACAAGCCAAAACATAAAACTTTTTTTAACTTCAAGTGCTACAAAAACTCAATCTAGAGCAGAGTGACCAAACTGCACACGCATTCTTCAGAAGCCGGAGCTGGGCACACCTGAGAGGGCTCATGGTTTCTGCTCTGTGGCAGATTGGTGGTGCTAAGGGCTCCAGTCCCACAGGAGGCATCTGCCGGGGCTCGGTGCTTCTGTAAGAGCAGGGCTGAAGCCTTGAGCCCAATAGGCATCTCCCCTGAGGCTGAAGTCATGTCAGCCCCCCAACCTGCTGAGCAGAAGCCCCTTGCCCTACAATCCCACTGCAGGACAGAAGCCCAGGGCTTCTCCCCCATCCTCCCAGTCTGATAGGTGGAAGTTGTGGGCATGGGAGGTGCCACACGCTTGCAAGCCGCAGTTTGGCCACCCTGATCTAGGGTATGAAAATCTTTCTGCCACTTCAGTCACCCTCAGGAATAAGGATTCAGCAGCTGAAGCTTAGAGGACAGTTCCATGCAAGAAACAGAAAAGAATTCAGCTTCTATTCCTATGGTTTCAATGACTCTAAAGTGCTAGCAGGAATAAACTTGATCAATGAAGTCAGCAGACAGGTTCTGTAAACAGACAATTTTACCATGTCATGTTTCTGGTTACAATTACACTTTAAGATTGTTCTCTGCTGCCAAGGATGCTATGTGTTTCACCCAAGCATTTGTGGTAAGAGGTGAGTTCATTGTGTATTACTTCCTGGTGTTCTCCTGTCGTCTAGCCAAATGCATTTTTCTTTTGTTCCATTAGGAGTACAATGACCTGTACCCAAGATTTCTCACGTAATGGCATCAGTTCTCTAGCTTCCGCAACAGAGGCTAAGGCTCAGGGAGGAGGGTATCTTACACATGGTTCTGTTCCCCACAGACCTGTCTCTGAATTTGGCTGAGTTGGGCTTTGCATGCTCACTCATTTCCCATGAGAATTCTCATATGGCTGCTTCCTAAATAACATGCATAGCTGGTAGCTTACCTGCAAGGTGCTGGTTAAAAAGTTGTCCTGGGAGACTATGTCTACAAAGAAATCAGCTGGGATTTCATTGAGCTGGTGGTACAGGACAGAAATGAGGTTGGTGTAGAGGACACGATGCTTCCCTATGGCATTCTCTGATCTGCACAAGACATTCAGAAGTTTTTTCCAATGCTCAAATGCATCATACACATTCCCAATCAGGAAACAGATGAAAGCAAACTGCAGCTCGGCTGGACACACCCAGTCAAGGGAGGGCATGGAAAAAAAAAACAGGGAAGGATGTTAGTCATTGAACCATAAGTGGAACCACCAATGTGGACAGTGTTAATTTTTGCAAATACTATCTGGGTTTGTCTTGCTGACATAAGCAGCACTCCTGATGACTATATTAGCAATCATCAGTCCTCCAAGCACTGGCCACTCTCCATCCCCTTCACCACATGACTAAGCAAGCAAGCACAGCATAGTCAATGAGGACATGTTTGAGTAACAACCTTTAACCTTCTTGTCACAAGCATCCATAAATAGAGTCTGAGAACAATGTTCTTAACAAATCAATTCCAAAGATCGTGCTGTAGTGTTTGGATTCTCACGAAGTATCAAAGTATCATTTCTACTTATTACTAATATTCTGCAATAGTAAGCCAAGACATCACATCAAGATTTGTGTGGTCTCCTATGACTCCACTTAACACAAACTTGCCTTGTAGCTACTAAGAGGGAATCATTCTCTCTCTCTGCCTCTGCCTTTCCTGAGCCCATGTGTCCAAAAAGGTGCAGCAAAGAAATTGCTGCTGCCACCACAACTAGATAGTGGTGTGGGAACTACAGTATGGACACACAGAGGCAGACAGTAAGAGCAATCTATGATATTATATGTGCAGAAGACAATGTGGTATTGCTATTACAGCAGCTTTGCTTTCCTAGACCTGGTCCATGTTTCAAAGTTAGGTGCCCCGGGTATGAAAAATCTACATAGTTGAGAGCTATAGATATACCATCCTAACCCCAGATTAGACTAAACTGATGGAAAAATTCCACTATCAGTACTCAAAGAGGTAGATTACCAACAGCAATGGAAAAAATTCCTTTCATCATTGTAGGTATCATCTAAACTACAGGACATCAACGCCATAGCCGGTACTATAGATGTGGCTTTATTTTGCCAGGCAGGATTCAGCATTACCAGATGTTTAGATATCCTTTTTATCACAACCGTTTCTGCATATGCTTTTCACAGAGCACTGGGAAATGTTTGTTAGCTGGGAAGGAAACTAGCTATTTTTATCTCTCAGAACATTTCAGAACAGAGTTCTGCTTTTTTAGGAGGTACATAGTTAACAGATAAAATGACAAGAACATGAGAAGCAAGCATCCAGGGTTTATCTTAAGGGTAACCGTGTCATCTCGGCTGGATTTCAGAGTTCTCAATAGAGTTGGCATTAACTTGTAACAGACGCTGCCATTATTTCCAACAGAGTTAGCAGCTAATTACAGCAATACTATTGAGGGCCACCAGCTGCTAATTTGTGATATGTCAGTAAATAATGCATGTCACATTCTTCTGTACAATGAATACAGTCTTTGTTCAAAGCTTTTCCTCACAATAATCTCCAAATCCTACCAGAAGGCGTCACCAGCAAAGCACAAGAGGTTTCGCCTTCCTAAGCTTGCTTCTTCCCTTTCAGCCTCTGCTGCTCTAGTATGGAGGGGAAGGGAAGGGAGGGGAGAGAAATGAATTTGTTCAAGATTTGCTTCTGCTTAGTTTTTTTAATGAAAAAATGGATAACAAATTAACAATAAATGGCTACAGTGCTGTAGGAGCCAAAGCCAACATACCAATTTCTGCATGTAACAGTGATGTCCTATTTGTAGCATTTTTCTATGTCTGGAATAACCCATTTTTTCTGTTCCTAAGCTGAACAATTATGTTGATACCCATCGTGCTGCAAGTAATGATTTCAATATACTCTTCCTGCACCATCCAGACTGTTCCCAGTAATCACCTTTTTCAATGAAAATAATATAAGGCTGGTGGCTTACTTCCTTTTAAAACGTATTTTTATGTAATTAGTTAATTGGCAGGTTGCCAGCAGAGGTGGAACCAGATAATGTGGGATGGAGGAGAAAACCCAGAGATGGATGTGAAAGGAATATTGGGGAAAAACTTAAAAAACAATGAGTTGGAGACTAAAAAAACCATGTACATGGGATGAAGCCACTTCTTCAAGACTCACATCGCAGCACTGAGAGCTCATAGCCAACATTCCACATGCTGCTCTGAACATTCACGCATAGCAAATTGCTTGTAAAAGCACTTCTCACTTAAGAATCTCAAAATGCTGCACAACACATTAAGCCCCCAAACACCCTGTGAAACAGGCACTGTATTATCCTTATTTTATAGATGGATAACTGGAGGCACAGAGAGGCTAAATGACTTGCCAAAAGTCCAAATGCTAATTTATTGGCAAGAGTGGAACTAAGACCTAAGTGTTCTGATTCCTAATTCCATACTATAATCCAGGACCATATGTGGGCCACATGGCCCACAGCTCATTTGTTTGCGTCCTGTGGTGTGGTTGGGATTTACGCAGGGCTCAACACGCAGCCCATAGGTGGGAGCCAAAACAAAAAAGCAGTCAATATAATGGTCTTTTGTTGGTATGTGTTTTAGTAGTTAAATTTCTGGACTGTCATTGCTCATTTAAAGTGCTGTCATATGGGCAAAAATCGGGTAAATACTACATTTTATTAATATCAGCAGAACTGACTTAAATGGGGCCTGTGTGTTGTGTAGTCTTGCCTTAAGCTTTGTATTCATACCTGTCGGTGTGAAAGAAGCTATTTGCATATATATTTGCATGCATATGCAACCACAGTAAGTTGTGGCCCTTGGCATATGTTGAGTATCATTGTGGCCCCCGGGGCTTCCAAAGTTGAGTAGCCCTGGTATAGTCTATGATAGCTGGACACCCTCTTACTGATAAGCGTTTAAACTAGCTTGCAATGACTCAGTTTCTAGGACAGCCATTATACTCACCAAGCACATCTTGGGGTTGGCTGGAACACTGCTTGTTAATCACTGTTTCCAGAGCATAGCTAAGGTCCATGCTATGCCTAGTTATTTCCTCAGGAGTAGCACCATCAGGGTACATCTGCTTTGGCATTTCTGTGAACCGGATCTCAGTGCCAGCTTTCAGCTTCATTTTGGGCAGTCGGGCCAGGCCTTCTGCATAGCTCTTACATTCTGTGTCATATCGGGGCAGGTTCTGTTCAGCTCGGTCTTTGGTGTGCTTCCCAGCTAGAACTGGCAGAACTTCTGAAAAGGCACAGATCTGTCCACTCTCTGGCTGAAGCTTCTTCATCACTGGTTCACTGATGAAGTTAGTGAGAGAGATCCATTTCTTGAGGCTCTCATATGGGTATGGTCCAAGAAACTTGTCCATCTCCTGAAGATTTGACCTCATTATTTCAATATCTTCTTCAGATGCTGGGGTGAGGTCCACCTCCTCATTGGATGAGTTCCAGTGCAGAACCCGCAAATCTCGCTGGTGCAGGCTTAAGAAGAAGCCAGTACGGGGGCCTGTTTCTTTAGTGTTGCACCGGTTGACAGAGCTATAGTGGAAGAAATGGATGCCTGGAGGAATCATCTTGACTCCACGGAACCTGGGGCCCACATGCCAAGTGTTGTAATCAATGCCAAACTCTGTCCCCTCAGGCATATTCAAAATGACAACTGTGGCACCTTCAAAAAACAGTCTCTTGGCCAGGTCTGGATCTATCTGCATCTCTGCCATCTTGTCTGCTGGTCTGGCTGTTGCGTCAGGCCTCTCTACCAAGAATCTAGGATAGGGCAAGCACATCACACTTGTATTATGTAAATACACAGATCCCTCCATCCAGGATAGTTTATGAAAACCTTTGCAAGTTAATATAGTCCAGTGCTGTACTTCTGGACCGTATGCTCACTGAAGAAGAGTGGTTTTGATAGCTGTGCCTTACGCAGTAAAGAAAACAGTTAGTACTTAACAAATAACAATACATAGGTGCCTCGGCACTAGGGATGTTAAAATAGTTGAATATGGTAATGGTGTATCTGCTAAAAGTCGGAGCGGTTACACGCTCTGGGGCTCTGCAATAGGGATGTAAGCAACTAATTGACTATCCAATAAGCAAAACCTTATCAGATAGTTGACACAGTAGTAAACTAGTCGTTTCCCTGCCACTTGCTGCCTCTATCAGAAAGAGGCAACAGGGTGAGAGAGAGGAGGTGGTGCTGGGGGGTACCGGCTCCCCCCAGCTCTGTGGGAGGAGGCAGGAGCACAGCAGCAGCATTCCACCTTTGACATGTACAAGAGCCCCCCACTTGCCCTGGTCTCCACATGGCGTTTCGATCTATTAAATGCACAAGAGCCCCTGCTGGGGATCTTGTACATGTCAAAGGCAGAATGCCACAATCTGGTTACAATTACACTTTAAGATTGTTCTCTGCTGCCAAGGATGCTATGTGTTTCACCCAAGCATTTGTGGTAAGAGGTGAGTTCATTGTGTATTACTTCCTGGTGTTCTCCTGTCGTCTAGCCAAATGCATTTTTCTTTTGTTCCATTAGGAGTACAATGACCTGTACCCAAGATTTCTCACGTAATGGCATCAGTTCTCTAGCTTCCGCAACAGAGGCTAAGGCTCAGGGAGGAGGGTATCTTACACATGGTTCTGTTCCCCACAGACCTGTCTCTGAATTTGGCTGAGTTGGGCTTTGCATGCTCACTCATTTCCCATGAGAATTCTCATATGGCTGCTTCCTAAATAACATGCATAGCTGGTAGCTTACCTGCAAGGTGCTGGTTAAAAAGTTGTCCTGGGAGACTATGTCTACAAAGAAATCAGCTGGGATTTCATTGAGCTGGTGGTACAGGACAGAAATGAGGTTGGTGTAGAGGACACGATGCTTCCCTATGGCATTCTCTGATCTGCACAAGACATTCAGAAGTTTTTTCCAATGCTCAAATGCATCATACACATTCCCAATCAGGAAACAGATGAAAGCAAACTGCAGCTCGGCTGGACACACCCAGTCAAGGGAGGGCATGGAAAAAAAAAACAGGGAAGGATGTTAGTCATTGAACCATAAGTGGAACCACCAATGTGGACAGTGTTAATTTTTGCAAATACTATCTGGGTTTGTCTTGCTGACATAAGCAGCACTCCTGATGACTATATTAGCAATCATCAGTCCTCCAAGCACTGGCCACTCTCCATCCCCTTCACCACATGACTAAGCAAGCAAGCACAGCATAGTCAATGAGGACATGTTTGAGTAACAACCTTTAACCTTCTTGTCACAAGCATCCATAAATAGAGTCTGAGAACAATGTTCTTAACAAATCAATTCCAAAGATCGTGCTGTAGTGTTTGGATTCTCACGAAGTATCAAAGTATCATTTCTACTTATTACTAATATTCTGCAATAGTAAGCCAAGACATCACATCAAGATTTGTGTGGTCTCCTATGACTCCACTTAACACAAACTTGCCTTGTAGCTACTAAGAGGGAATCATTCTCTCTCTCTGCCTCTGCCTTTCCTGAGCCCATGTGTCCAAAAAGGTGCAGCAAAGAAATTGCTGCTGCCACCACAACTAGATAGTGGTGTGGGAACTACAGTATGGACACACAGAGGCAGACAGTAAGAGCAATCTATGATATTATATGTGCAGAAGACAATGTGGTATTGCTATTACAGCAGCTTTGCTTTCCTAGACCTGGTCCATGTTTCAAAGTTAGGTGCCCCGGGTATGAAAAATCTACATAGTTGAGAGCTATAGATATACCATCCTAACCCCAGATTAGACTAAACTGATGGAAAAATTCCACTATCAGTACTCAAAGAGGTAGATTACCAACAGCAATGGAAAAAATTCCTTTCATCATTGTAGGTATCATCTAAACTACAGGACATCAACGCCATAGCCGGTACTATAGATGTGGCTTTATTTTGCCAGGCAGGATTCAGCATTACCAGATGTTTAGATATCCTTTTTATCACAACCGTTTCTGCATATGCTTTTCACAGAGCACTGGGAAATGTTTGTTAGCTGGGAAGGAAACTAGCTATTTTTATCTCTCAGAACATTTCAGAACAGAGTTCTGCTTTTTTAGGAGGTACATAGTTAACAGATAAAATGACAAGAACATGAGAAGCAAGCATCCAGGGTTTATCTTAAGGGTAACCGTGTCATCTCGGCTGGATTTCAGAGTTCTCAATAGAGTTGGCATTAACTTGTAACAGACGCTGCCATTATTTCCAACAGAGTTAGCAGCTAATTACAGCAATACTATTGAGGGCCACCAGCTGCTAATTTGTGATATGTCAGTAAATAATGCATGTCACATTCTTCTGTACAATGAATACAGTCTTTGTTCAAAGCTTTTCCTCACAATAATCTCCAAATCCTACCAGAAGGCGTCACCAGCAAAGCACAAGAGGTTTCGCCTTCCTAAGCTTGCTTCTTCCCTTTCAGCCTCTGCTGCTCTAGTATGGAGGGGAAGGGAAGGGAGGGGAGAGAAATGAATTTGTTCAAGATTTGCTTCTGCTTAGTTTTTTTAATGAAAAAATGGATAACAAATTAACAATAAATGGCTACAGTGCTGTAGGAGCCAAAGCCAACATACCAATTTCTGCATGTAACAGTGATGTCCTATTTGTAGCATTTTTCTATGTCTGGAATAACCCATTTTTTCTGTTCCTAAGCTGAACAATTATGTTGATACCCATCGTGCTGCAAGTAATGATTTCAATATACTCTTCCTGCACCATCCAGACTGTTCCCAGTAATCACCTTTTTCAATGAAAATAATATAAGGCTGGTGGCTTACTTCCTTTTAAAACGTATTTTTATGTAATTAGTTAATTGGCAGGTTGCCAGCAGAGGTGGAACCAGATAATGTGGGATGGAGGAGAAAACCCAGAGATGGATGTGAAAGGAATATTGGGGAAAAACTTAAAAAACAATGAGTTGGAGACTAAAAAAACCATGTACATGGGATGAAGCCACTTCTTCAAGACTCACATCGCAGCACTGAGAGCTCATAGCCAACATTCCACATGCTGCTCTGAACATTCACGCATAGCAAATTGCTTGTAAAAGCACTTCTCACTTAAGAATCTCAAAATGCTGCACAACACATTAAGCCCCCAAACACCCTGTGAAACAGGCACTGTATTATCCTTATTTTATAGATGGATAACTGGAGGCACAGAGAGGCTAAATGACTTGCCAAAAGTCCAAATGCTAATTTATTGGCAAGAGTGGAACTAAGACCTAAGTGTTCTGATTCCTAATTCCATACTATAATCCAGGACCATATGTGGGCCACATGGCCCACAGCTCATTTGTTTGCGTCCTGTGGTGTGGTTGGGATTTACGCAGGGCTCAACACGCAGCCCATAGGTGGGAGCCAAAACAAAAAAGCAGTCAATATAATGGTCTTTTGTTGGTATGTGTTTTAGTAGTTAAATTTCTGGACTGTCATTGCTCATTTAAAGTGCTGTCATATGGGCAAAAATCGGGTAAATACTACATTTTATTAATATCAGCAGAACTGACTTAAATGGGGCCTGTGTGTTGTGTAGTCTTGCCTTAAGCTTTGTATTCATACCTGTCGGTGTGAAAGAAGCTATTTGCATATATATTTGCATGCATATGCAACCACAGTAAGTTGTGGCCCTTGGCATATGTTGAGTATCATTGTGGCCCCCGGGGCTTCCAAAGTTGAGTAGCCCTGGTATAGTCTATGATAGCTGGACACCCTCTTACTGATAAGCGTTTAAACTAGCTTGCAATGACTCAGTTTCTAGGACAGCCATTATACTCACCAAGCACATCTTGGGGTTGGCTGGAACACTGCTTGTTAATCACTGTTTCCAGAGCATAGCTAAGGTCCATGCTATGCCTAGTTATTTCCTCAGGAGTAGCACCATCAGGGTACATCTGCTTTGGCATTTCTGTGAACCGGATCTCAGTGCCAGCTTTCAGCTTCATTTTGGGCAGTCGGGCCAGGCCTTCTGCATAGCTCTTACATTCTGTGTCATATCGGGGCAGGTTCTGTTCAGCTCGGTCTTTGGTGTGCTTCCCAGCTAGAACTGGCAGAACTTCTGAAAAGGCACAGATCTGTCCACTCTCTGGCTGAAGCTTCTTCATCACTGGTTCACTGATGAAGTTAGTGAGAGAGATCCATTTCTTGAGGCTCTCATATGGGTATGGTCCAAGAAACTTGTCCATCTCCTGAAGATTTGACCTCATTATTTCAATATCTTCTTCAGATGCTGGGGTGAGGTCCACCTCCTCATTGGATGAGTTCCAGTGCAGAACCCGCAAATCTCGCTGGTGCAGGCTTAAGAAGAAGCCAGTACGGGGGCCTGTTTCTTTAGTGTTGCACCGGTTGACAGAGCTATAGTGGAAGAAATGGATGCCTGGAGGAATCATCTTGACTCCACGGAACCTGGGGCCCACATGCCAAGTGTTGTAATCAATGCCAAACTCTGTCCCCTCAGGCATATTCAAAATGACAACTGTGGCACCTTCAAAAAACAGTCTCTTGGCCAGGTCTGGATCTATCTGCATCTCTGCCATCTTGTCTGCTGGTCTGGCTGTTGCGTCAGGCCTCTCTACCAAGAATCTAGGATAGGGCAAGCACATCACACTTGTATTATGTAAATACACAGATCCCTCCATCCAGGATAGTTTATGAAAACCTTTGCAAGTTAATATAGTCCAGTGCTGTACTTCTGGACCGTATGCTCACTGAAGAAGAGTGGTTTTGATAGCTGTGCCTTACGCAGTAAAGAAAACAGTTAGTACTTAACAAATAACAATACATAGGTGCCTCGGCACTAGGGATGTTAAAATAGTTGAATATGGTAATGGTGTATCTGCTAAAAGTCGGAGCGGTTACACGCTCTGGGGCTCTGCAATAGGGATGTAAGCAACTAATTGACTATCCAATAAGCAAAACCTTATCAGATAGTTGACACAGTAGTAAACTAGTCGTTTCCCTGCCACTTGCTGCCTCTATCAGAAAGAGGCAACAGGGTGAGAGAGAGGAGGTGGTGCTGGGGGGTACCGGCTCCCCCCAGCTCTGTGGGAGGAGGCAGGAGCACAGCAGCAGCATTCCACCTTTGACATGTACAAGAGCCCCCCACTTGCCCTGGTCTCCACATGGCGTTTCGATCTATTAAATGCACAAGAGCCCCTGCTGGGGATCTTGTACATGTCAAAGGCAGAATGCCACAACCCACCTCCACCCTTGAAATGTAGCAACAGCCAGGCGGTCTAGCCATTTCAAAGGCAGACTCACCACCGGTTCCTCACAGTGCCCCTTCCCCTTCTCCCCACGGAGATGGTGCTGGCAGGACCGGCTTTTAAGTTGGCTCCCCCCAGCACTGGATCCTGCTCCCCCCCCATTTGCTGCCTCTCTATAATAGAGGCAGCAGGGTTGGGAGTGACTAGTCGAGTCACTACTCAATTATCCGACAAGCGCTTGCTAGTCACTTGCACCCTTATTTGCTATGCTTTATTCTTTCAGTGGATTGAGAAGGCCTTTGTTGTAATGAATCCAAGATATTCACATGCACCAATATTCGGTTTCAGAAGCTGGCTTGATTTTTAGCTGAGTCTTTCAAAAGTAGGCATTTGCAATGAATTTCTACCACTTTCAACTTCCTGAAGGGAGGTTCCAAAGACGATGGAGAAAGGCTGTTCTCTGTAGTGACAGATGACAGAACAAGGAGCAATGGTCTCAAGTTGCATTGGGAGAGGTCTAGGTTGGATATTAGGAAAAACTATTTCACTAGGAGGGGGGTGAAGCATTGGGATGGGTTCCCTAGGGAGGGGTGGAATCTCCATCCCTAGAGGTTTTTAAGCACCAGCTTGACAAAGTCCTGGCTGGGATGATTTAGTTGGAATTGGTCCTGCTTTGGGCAGGGGGCTGGACTCTGGACTCGATGACCTCCTGAGAGCTCTTCCTGCCCTATGATTCTATAATACTCTGCAGCATAAAGCTTAACTTTATACTAGGATGCAAAAGTGTGACCGTATACATGGTTAACTGATGAGCCTGGGCTTATCACTTAACCTTCACGGTTACATGCATGCTCCTGGTATACACGTAACCTGGTATACATGTAACAGGGCAACCGCTTAAAAGCCAGCTCCCGGGGAGCCACCTTTCCCCCTCTCTCCTCCAGGCTGCTGCCTCTGTATCACATGCAGCAACATAGGGTGGGCAGGCAGCAGCCATTGCATACAGGGAGCCAGATTAAAAGACAGTTCCCCATGCACACCAACTCCTTGGGAGCTGCCTGCCCTCCTCCCTCACATTTATCAGCTGAAATTCAGTGGTTACATGTTTACTTGATTAAATGCATTTTTACATCTCTACTTTATACTGGATAGCCCACAGTGAAGCCTCCCCCGGAGCAAGGCCACCAGCAGCAGCGAGGCCTCCTCCCCAGGAATGGGGCCAGAAGCCCTTGCCTGTCTGGCTCCTGGGGAACAGGCTTTGCTACCCTGTCACAGCAAAGCCACCTCCCTCGGAGCCAGCTGAGTGTAACTGGAACCATTAACCAAAAAGCACCAGCTTATCAGTCAATGGTTATTCAGCTACACTCTAACATCCCTATTTCAAACCCGATATGCAGTCTTCTCACTGCAGTCTGTAATCTGAAAGCACCACCTCACGGCACTCGCACTAGCCAAGAGGAGAAGAGATAAAGCTATAGCAGTACAATGATATTCGGCAGCTAGAAAAAAATCCATCTTAAAATCTTACCAATGAAAACATAAACTCTAGTCACAGCAATTCCCTGTCTAGTCCTTCCAGTAAGGATAATGGGAAAAATCACAGACTACAGCTCTGACACACACCTCTCACCATAGTCTGTTAGTAAGCGAGAGAAGATTTTACAAGGTGTATTTATAAACACACTCAGCAGAGCCTCCTCCTCAGGCTTCCCCTTGCCAGGAATAGTCTCCCAGAACCCCAGTCTCCCCGCCCAGGTATAACCACAGTCCCCTGGATCCCCAGTCTGCCCCCAACACACCAGTGGTATGTAGACAGCTACTTGCTCCCTTGCAGCTTTCTACACATACCACCAGCTCCCATAGCCCCGTATAACCCGCCCCCAAACCCAGGGTCTGCGCCCCCCAGCCAGCTCCCCCACGCCC